TGAGTAGAATAAGCTGTACACATGCATACGCTCATATAAAACAGTCTTTGTGTAATAAAAGTGAAGTTACTCTGTTATTTATTAGAAGTAAAGAGTTTAAAACAGGATGAAACACAGTGTCTTACAACTTCCAGGTTCATATTGATATTCATCCCAATGAGTTAAAATTATACATTTTCATATCTGGCGTATGAAAGCTTAACACTATCAATTTATTGTTAAGATAGTCTTTTGATATTGTCGGTTGATTGTTAATTTTCACCACGGATTGATATCAGTTTGTAGCGGTAAATTAATCCCGAAAATAAATAGCTCTGTAAGTTCAGATGGGTTTTTGTGGAGATTGTAGTAATTTCAATGGTTAAGATCATGAGTCTGTTGAAGCTAGACCACCATGGAAAACCTGAAAGCACTGGACGGCCGTTTCGTCCTATTGTGGGACTCCTCAGCAGTGCGCATCCACGTGGATGCGCAGTAGGTCCTGGGTTCGAATCTCGCAGGGGGCGAGGTCGTGGATGCGCACTGCTGAGGAGTTCCACAATAGGACGAAACGGCCGTCCAGTGCTTCCAGGTTTTCCATGGTGGTCTAGCTTCAACTGACTCATGATCTTAACCATTGAAAGCTCTGTAAGTCTTCGACATCGGATGCTGACCATATTAGTTTTAATGGACTCACCTAGCTGAAGGCGCCCGGTCATGCATCCGCACCAGATCACGAGTGGTAACGCCGTGCTCAACAACCCCTGCAATCGCTAAGCAACCTATTTCAGTCGATCCACGATATAATAATAACCTGTCAAATATATCTTCGAACCTGCTCGCTTCTGTCTTTTGATTTCACTTGGTGGGTACGATTCATATTACGTGTTACTGGTTAAAGCGTTGTCAAACTCCAAATACCTGTGGCATCTTCAAGTTTAACACCAGGAATCACTAAATAATTACTTTATCTTAGTCTGAAAATCCTTGGCAGCGTGCATTATTGACCACATAACGAATAGAATTCAAGGCATACAGATTTCATGGTTAGCGAAAAATTCTTAAACCACTGAGTCGGTCTCAAATGGATCGTGTTTTTAACGTCAGGTAACTTTAATCTCTGATGGTAAGCTTCTTCAAATTATTGTGATATTCATTAATCTTAATGATGAATTTTGTTACAAACAATAACTTACATAGTAATAAACTCATAATAACAATTAACCAAATGTGAAACAAGTAACTTTTTTTTACATAATACACTAAAGAACTGAAAACATTTAGAAATTTGCACGGAATGGTTAACTTTAATGTATGAATATTACTTATATAGAACCATTTTTTATATTTACACATAAATATTGGTACAAGGGGGCACCAAATATATATGCGCCACACAAAACAATGAGAATAGGAGGAGAAAAATGGTAAGGTGCGTATAAGGAAAAAAGAACAATAACGACCACAGGTTAGTGTAAGTAGTGTAATAATAATAATAATAATATGAATTGTTTGACTGTTAATTGAAGCGTGAATAGAATTTTCAGTAAATGACGTCATTTTCATTTTATTTGTGTGTGGGCTGTGATACTGCCCGGGTGCCCAAACCGAAGCAGGTGGTTTTCTTAAGGGGCTACACCCCGAGCCTTTGACCTAAAGGTCTGACCCACAAGGCAGTGGAGCATCGTGAGGAGATCCAGTCCCATGGTAGCCGGTGGCTAACAATTGGTTCGTACGCCATTTGTTCCCTCAGGGCACTGGAGCTCATGTGCACCATTGGTTTGGAATCCGGTTAAAGCGCTGAACATTCTCTTTTTGTCCTCTAACTTTCGTAAACAACACCCCCGCCAAGAGAAGGCAGTGTGTAGGACTTCCCTGGCAGAGGCTGTATACGTGTGGCCGTGTGAGAGCATTTCGAGAGGGAGGGCGGGCCCACCCCACTCTCGGCCATATCAGGGCATTTGAGGGCTATATAGAACTAACTTTTATCTTAAGCAGCTTACAGTTATAAGGAGATAAATAAGAACAAACATTAAAAATTATTTGATTTTGCTGAAATAATATACGGTTGTTCAAAAGAAAATAATCAAAAAGAATCACATTTAAACTGACCTTATCACCTAATTAAGAAAAAGGATAAAATTCCCTATTCATATGTAATTTGATATTTGGAATAACAAAGAAAATTATGTTTATTAGTGAATTCATTTTAAATATATATATAAGTGAATAAGAAAATAAAGATACCGTATTCTCGTTACGTTCTTACATATATAAGTATTTATTGTCTAAGATTAGTTTGTAAAATGAGTAAATTTGTTAGGCAGTTGACAGCATCACAAAGATTCAGTCTGAGGGAGTTCATCCGAGCATCATTTTTGGCTTCAAATAATCTGTAGGGTTGAAATAGTTATGATTGATTGATCACCGAATACTGACCAATATTGGTCATAATCTGCATTGTTTAATAGTTACGTTTCAAGCTACAAACATTGATGACACGGATTCGAACCTATCAGGGGATACAAGTTCTCTCAAGACTACAGCTATATCTTGCTGATGAGAAACAAATATCACGAAATCTGGAACAGGTAGAATTTCCTGTAGTAGTTTTGTTCCCAAACTATCAGTAATTAAATATACGAAGTAATGACTGACTATGAATTAACACAGCCATGTAAACTTATCCCTAAAAACTTCCCACTAATGACTTGTTATTTTAGGTAGCTGAGGATACATTTTTCATATTGTGTTTGGACGAATTGTTCAAGGTGAAATTAAATTTAATATTTTATTGACTTAGGTGATGCGAACATAAGACTTTTTTTCTTACAACACACCATATTACTAAGAAGTTAACTTGATATTGTGACAATGATTAGCAGGACTGAAAAAATTATCGCGAATATAATAAATATTTTTTTTCTTATATCCCAATGAGTAGAAAAATTGTATTTCTGATGTTTCGTGACTTAATGTAAGCCATTTCTTTAGTATGAATAAAAAAGCTCATTGCAATATAACAACAAATATATTTACCATTAATTCACTACCCAATGCTCAATTTATTTAAAACTATTAAATCCAACATTGATACTAATACTGTAGTGAACGAGAACACAAATGGGACACAATTCAATATATTTCAACACAAAATTACAGAACATATTAGTAAAATCTGAGAACCATACAGTAAATACTTCATTTGCAAAATGTCAACCAATTGTCACAAACTTGACTGTTCCTTTTGCAAATATCAGTCATTCGTCTCAGACTTCATTGTTCTTGCATTTCCATACAGATTGCTTTCTGTTCCTGATCTTTCTTTTTCGACCTTTTGCTGCTAGATATTCTATTCTTGAATACCGTTATATACTACTTATGTCGACATAAGTAGCACACACCACAATATCACTAACGTGGTATTATTTTAGAACAATCTGTAATGTATGAAGAACCGAGTTGAAATAATATAACTAATCATTATTCACATTAAAAGTGTAATAATAACCTAGAGAATTAAACTGAGTTAAAAAAAGAAATGTTAGTTTGTATTATATTGGAAAAGGTAACTTATATGTTAATTTTAATTTTTTTTGTTAAATCAATGAACACTTAAAGTGATCATACAAATATCATGATTGTTCGTTCAAAACTCGTTCACTATATATATCAATTTTATCAGCATAAACAAGATTTTATTAAAATTAACCAAAATTGAACATTTAATAGTTGAATTCATGAGTCAGTTGAAGCTAGATCATCATGGAAAACACAGAAGAACTAGACGGCTGTTTGGTCCTAGTATGGGACTCTTCAACAGTGTGCATCCACGATCCTGCATCGCGAAATTCAAACCCAGGACTCACTAGTCCCGCGCTCAAGCGCTTAACCACCAGATCACTAAAATTAAACATAGTTTAATAAAATAGAAACGGTTTTGTATTAGACATTTTATATTTTATTAATGTACAATCAATGACTGAAGTGAATGTTTGTATGTATCAAGCATGACATATTTTTTACGAGTAAATAAATATCAGTAAAAAATTCACTTGTTGTTTTATTTGTATCTTCCCATTGTTAGAACTGTAATTGATTAATCTCATGGCGTTTGAAGCGAAAGGTACTGGGTTTGAGTCCTAGGGTGAGCATCAACTCTGGGATGCAGGCACATCCAGGTGACGAAACGCGCGTCGTGAATTCCACTGCTACCCACTAATAATCTTTGCTTATTAAGAAACAACTTAAAGAATCAAAATAATATATTGAAATTTGAATGTCTTTAATGTGCGGTGTTATTGACAATTTTTAACACCCTAAATTGAATAATCATAAACCTAGCACTAATCAATCACTTTTCTTGAAAACATTCTCTTATATCGATAGCAATCTATAACAAGCGATCAAACTAACAATCCTATAATAGGCAGGAGCTATAACTATATGAAATGAAAACCTGAGGCTATACTTTCAGAAGAAAGATGTTTAGCCTCCCTTTATACTCTTATCAACTTTTAATTTAACAAGTAAACCATTATTTCATTTATAAAATGAATTTTACAAATGTATACATCCTGATTTCTATTTTTATAATTTAAATTTAACCGAGTAAAAAACAGTAATTGTATCTGAGATACTTATCTTCTACTTAATTCAAAGTTCTTTTAGTATTGCGTAATCTCTGATAAAATACTTTATAATGTAACTATATTTTTTTTCATTTTTACAAACCTACGTCACTTATATAGATTCCAACTATTCTAGGAATTTTAGCTAATTTAAGCAACACTTAAATACTAGTTATTTCACTGTTTACAAAGGCTAACAAACTTCATTTGTTAGCAATCCTAAACCCATAACCTTTATTTTCAAATATATGAACTTGCCTTTGATTTGTTTAATTTTTTTCGCGATCATTGAGCCGGAATTGACAATATGACAGTTCAGTGAAATATATTTCATTAGGTAAATAATTTTGAATATAAAATAAGTAAAATTGATACAAAATTCAAATTTACTCATGATGATGATGATGATGATGATGATGATGATGATGATGATGATGATGATGATGATGATGATGATGATGATGATGATGATGATGATGATGATGATGATGATGATGATGATGATGATGATGATGATGATGATGATGATGATGATGATGATGATGATGATGATGATGATGATGATGATGATGATGATGATGATGATGATGATGATGATGATGATGATGATGATGATGATGATGATGATGATGATGATGATGATGATGATGATGATGATGATGATGATGATGATGATGATGATGATGATGATGATGATGATGATGATGATGATGATGATGATGATGATGATGATGATGATGATGATGATGATGATGATGATGATGATGATGATGATGATGATGATGATGATGATGATGATGATGATGATGATGATGATGATGATGATGATGATGATGATGATGATGATGATGATGATGATGATGATGATGATGATGATGATGATGATGATGATGATGATGATGATGATGATGATGATGATGATGATGATGATGATGATGATGATGATGATGATGATGATGATGACATTAACGGATCACTCCATTCAATACTATTTATAACAAATTTTTTAAACATAAGGAAAACAGTTTCTGTATTGTTGCCTTTAAATATTGCTTCTCTAATATAGACTAAAAATATATGCTTTATCTCAAATAAGCTTATGAATTAAGTTTACTCACTTCACTAAGCGTATTCGATCAAACAATGAGTATCATGTTGAAGTTTCCGAATACTCCTTAATAGCTAATGATATAAATAGGAAAATTGTTTCCAATTAGTGATTAAAACTAAGTTCCATTTAATCGAATGCTGATATTTTGACAAACTGTCAAATGGATATTTTAGTCTGCTTGGCAACTGCGATAAGCTTTATGTTCTGCATAAAATCACAGTACTTTAAGAATAATAAAAGATGTAAACATCTGGTTGTAAAGAATTTTCTTAATACTCAGAGACTATACCCTTTAAATATTTATAAATCATAAGGAAACAGAAAGAAATGGGTGTGGTCTATTGAACTTTATACGGAGTAATTATGCTTAAAAGTACATGTTAAACATTAATAACGAAAACTCAGATTTTTAGTTATTAATTAAATACTTGTAGACAAAACTAAGAATAAACTAAAGTATTAAATAATAGAAACAAATAAAGACTAAGACAGTGTACTTAAAGGATAAAATCACATCTTCATACTGATAAACTACTATTAAAAATTGAAAAAACGCCCTACAATTAATGAGTCATTCAGGGTTTATTAAATCAAACTTTGAAGCTTCTTAACAGCATACAAATGGAAATCAGCACCAATAAAAGAGTATTAAAACAAACATGAAAGATATACACAGATAGAATAAGCAATAAATTATGGTCAAGTAAACATTCAGTATTTAAAAAGTAAACGGTGAATACATTGCCGTCGATGTGACTAGTTGATTATCTTTCCTTAAACCGTAACAAGATAGTCGATACCACTGAAATGTACTTAAACAAAAATATCAGTGTGATGAATTTTTAGTATAGTTTGTCATATACACTCACAGACTTTTTGGAGCTTAGCCCTCATTTGTTTAGCATTCGAGGCTCAAAAACCGATGAGTTCATTTGTATACTACATGATCTAACAATCTCATTCGCCACACTTTATCAGTATTAATATATAACCTTGTCAGATTTGTCTTTAATTTTGACAGTTTTTATTCAACAGCTCCCTCATATTCTTCTAGGATATATGATCAATTACTTGACATACTAAGGTGCTTACTCTCACCTCTCAATCTCAACATAGAATTTAGACTGATCATATCCTTACCCTTCCTTCATTAAACAGTTTACTACTTAGCAGATAAAATGAGCAACGTTAGTTGATACTTTCCAAACAATACTCCTATATCTAAACTAAGACCTTGTAAGTGATTAGCTAATATGAAATAATGTTACTTTTCTATTATACAAAATGGTCTAAAAACGACTAGTTTGTTACCTAAATTTTCGGGGTATTGGTACAAATCAGTTTCGGGGGTATCATTCTACACTGTTATAAAAATAACTCCTAAACATTCATAGACTGTATGACAGCTTATGTGAACATTTAGACTAAAAACGCAATACCTATACATAAAGAAAAATATCTTTTAGCTGTATGACTGCAGATTGATACAAATATTTATCATAAAAATTTATTTGAATTTTCCCTATCTAAGTACTAATAACTTCTTCAAGTTTCAATCAGAAGAACATATTACCTAGTGATCATTTCGTCTTACTTTTATTCCAACAAACTAAATTTAATGGACGACCTCCTTGATCATGAACTTTTCCATCAATCATGATTTTCGTTGCAATGTAAGTAAATGAATTTGTTACATACATTGAAACCCTGCACTGGTAGGTTGCTTTTATTTTACTGTGACTGCCCGAAAACAAAGATCATAAGAACTGTATGTTTCACTGAGTCAGCAAATAACATGAGATAGTATTATATAACTACAGTAAAATAATTGTTCAAGAATATAAGTAAGTTAAACTGAGAAGATAGAAGAAAAATAACATTCTGAAATACTATCAGTCAAAGATGTTTCCTGTACAGTATTGTATTATTCTGAACTAGTACGTTGTTTTGAAATAACCTTTTACCTTCAACTTGATCCCAGAATAAATCATTAAATTATATTCTGATGAAAACGGGTTACTGAAAGACTAAGAGGTTATAGTAAATGTCGTGAAATCTGTTCGTTTGAGATTTGCTGATTAGTTTCGTGAATAAATTATCACTTTGGCGACCTAAGTTATTTTATTATATTTTATTAATTCAGTTGAATTGTTTTATAAACACTTTCAGATCATAAATTAAATGACACGGTGATCTGTATAGGAAAACGTTTTGTGAAGACTGATAAATTCTATAGTTTGCATTACAAACTGATTGATAACTAGTGAGTACAAGGAAGCACTTGATAGTTGTTTTATCCTGATACGATAGATGGAGCACTTCTGAGATGGAACCTAGGATTTCAAAGCTTCATAGTTAGTGCTTAATCACTGGTTTCTAAGTAAAGTCAGTTTGCGATGTCGTACAATAATCATTTGATGTCATTGGTGAGCAACTGCCTATCTCATAACATGGTTGAACAGAGCAAAGTGATAATGATAGTCCTAAGTAAACATGAATTCCAATCTCATTATTCCCTATTTAAATTATCATAGTCAATTAGCGTTCAAAATGCATATTTTAAAATCCTACAGATTCTTTTGCTAAGTGATTGTCTATCTTGTAGCAACTCATTTGATGAGGAAAAAAAATAAAACTCGGTCACATCTTGATTTTATTAACTGATGAATAACGTGTAAAACTAGTATTCTACAATCATTCAACTTTCTGAATATAAAAATGTTTTATTTTCCTTAAAGAATTATAACCATTTACTTGCTACTTTACTTACGCCTGTTACTCCTAACGGAGCATAGGCCGCTGACCAGCATTCTCCAACCCACTCTGTCCTGGACCTTCTTTTCTAATTCCACCCAATTCTTGTTCATTTTTCTCATGTCTATCTCCATTTTCCGGCGTAATGTGTTCTTTGATCTTCCTCTTTTCCTTTGGCCTTGTGGATTCCATGTGAGGGCTTGTCTTGTGACGCAGTTGGGTGCTTTCCTTAATGCGTGTCCTATCCACTTCCAGCGCTTCTTCCTGACTTCTCCCTCCTCTGGGATCTGGTTTGTTCTTTCCCACAGTTGGTTATTGCTAATAGTGTCCGGCCAACGGATCCGAAGTATTTTGCATAGACAACTGTTAATAAACACCTGTTTCTTCTGGATGATGGCTTTCGTAGTTGCCCAGGTTTCCGCCCCATACAGTAGAACTGTTATGACATTTGTATTGAAAATCCTGACCTTTGTGTTGGTTAACAATTGTTTTGAGCTCCAGGTATTCTTCAGTCGTAAATACACTGCTCTTGTCCTACCGATCCGCGCTTTTACGTCTGCATCAGATCCACCATGTTCATCAATGATGCAGCCCAAATATGTAAAGGTTTTTACGTCTTCCAAATCTTCTTCGTCAATTGTGATTAGATTGGTGCATGCTGTGTTGTATCGGAGAATCTTGCTTTTGCCTTTGTGTATATTGAGACCGATTGCTGCTGAAGCTGTTGCTACACTGGTCGTCTTCTCCTAACTCGCTAAAAAACGCTAACCAAAAAAAAATAACCATTTACTGATCAATAATTTATATCTGATGAAATCTATTCATTTGGATATTTGGCATTGATAATTCAATTTACCTAATAAAAAAAAGTAGGTCAATCATTGATTACATTTATTTGGCTTATCTGTTATAACTGTATACATCAAGAAACTGTTCTACTCTTTTATTATAAACAAAAAAACATGCAATATATTAACTTTAATATTGTATTCCATTTAAATAACTAAACACTGATTGATTATTCAACAGTTGTTCTTCACTTTGTAAATAGTTTAAAAGAAAAAAAAGCAAGATCTTTTCATTAACGTAAATTTCATTGAAACCATTTATATTCATTAGCTTTAGATAATTGTCAAAATAGAAATTAATTTGGGAGAAAATTCAAAATTAATTAAGTATGAAGTTTCTTTCTTTCTCCCAATGAATATTATTTGTTTTATTGCTCAAAAATATTATTATTATTATTTTATGAAAACTAGTGAAATAGATTTTAGTTTAAATTTTTATAATCATTTATCTGATCTATTTTTTTCTCTTTTATGTAACTGAAAAATAACGATACCTAAAAGTTAAATGGTTAACCGGTAGGATAGAGATACACGCATTACAGCTATAAATCAAGCAACCATTATCTGTGATAGTGGTGGTGGTGTTGGTAATCGTGATAGTACTACTACTAATAATAATAACGATTATAGTAGTGATAGTAGTAGTGTTATTATATATACCACTCAAAAAGGGAAAAGAAAAACAATTATTGATTGAGATATTGATAAACATAATAGAAACATCAAGTTATATAGTAGTTAAATAATTTTTTCCTAACCCTCTCTCTCTCTCTCTCCTAAAAACCAATTTATATGAGGAGAAAAAACCAACACACGAATAGTTATATTGAGCAATAGTGTGAATTGAAAATGCCACAGTTTTATTCTCATCCGTTACATTATCTTGTTGGTTTTATTTCTAAAAATTAATGAAATTTAAATCAATTTATTTAATTCATATAACCAAATATATTTGGATTTATTCTAAAAATCCCATAGGAAAATATGAGAGAAGAACAGGATGAATAAAAAAGTATTTCAGTATTGATTAAAGGAATACTTTGGATCAATAAATGTGTACTGTTCGTTTATATGATGTACATAACACAATACTTGAATATATTCCACTTAAACTATATGTATGGTGTGTATAGACTGCTAAAGAGTTTTATACTTGGACATCAGAGTTGTCCACTGTTCTTTTTTTGCTTTTAGGTAGTTTTCAAAGTGATATTAGTTTATGGTGGGATTAATTGTTGATCTATACAAATCTTTTGATAAAAGCTACCTTAGTAATTTAATTATTAATTATTATTCAATAC